CATCCATTACAGTAACCCACTTGTAACCTACTGTACAGCAGAGCGACATACACGACTTACCCGCTTTTTTTTGTATACATTCTAGTTAATATTTATCAATAACTTAATTAATTTCAAGAAAGTCACTTTCAATAACAGTTATTGTTTAGTAGGGTTTTCAGTGAAATMATTTTAGTAAAAATTTTATCTCACCCCTCTAAAAGGCAGGAATAAGCGTGATTCCAATTTTTAAGTTTATAATTATGAAACTAAATTATAAAATACTAAAATGGTTACATATAGTCACTATATTATAGTGGTAGATTCTAATATACTATATATAGGTTGTACCCTGAAGGTAGGTACCTAATACCTATGTTATAGAGGTAGATTCTATTAGCACGTTGCGGACCTATGAATGTATTAATTTTACAACTTTATGTATATTTTTTTATTTTGTGTGAGTGTGCACGATAATTAGTCGTAATAATGCTTTGATTAAAATCCTCAATAGTTTCAAAAGCATTGGAAAAAAAGAAAGAGGAATATATAGGTAGGTAATATCGATTTTTGGCAAAATCAATTTTGGATTTTGGTATAACTCTAAAACAAATTACCATAGATATATGATATTTTCACTGAATATTTATAATAGTATTTTTACATTATACAATTTTAAGCTGTGGCATTTGAAATTTGAAATTTTTTAGTTTTTTGTTCTTTAAATGTCAATAAAATTATATTAATTAGATAAAAAAAGCTTGAAAATTTGATACAAGGTTCCCATTAGTTGATATATTAGCAATTGAAAAATATTTTTAAAAAACAGGCACATTATTTTTTATAACTGTTAGAAGTTCAAATTTTTATAAAACTTATTTAATTGAAAATTTAGTTAAATTAATATCCTAGACTGATCAATCGTTTCCTATCAGAATCGTTTTTTATATAAATATTATTATATTGAATTCAAATTTAATACTATCTATTACAGTGACCCACTTGTTATCTACTGTACAGCAGAGCGACTTCCACTTACCCGCTTTTAATTTAATTTATCTGTGTATACATTTCCCTATACTTTTCTATTTCTACATAATATAATATATATTATATAGCTATGGTCAACATTTTACACCAAGTGAACTACATTAAAATTATAAGTATCTAGTGATCAATAACTATTTATTTAGGTAGGTATATTATTTATATTTTAAAATGCAGCATAATAATATATTAGACATCTAATAATATTCTTCTTTTAATTCTCCATCGGAACAATTCTTCACTAATAAAATATACTTTTTAATGTATATAAATTTCATGAAATATTTAATTTCAATGAAAATAATAAATCATTTTAATTTAAAATCATGGTATAGAAAATACAGTTAATATCTCTACGGATTACGGATCTACTTAGTTAAATGTTATTAAAATATTTCTTACATACCTTGTACATTATACAAATTACATACAATTCATAAAATACATATTATTTCATATTTTATAATTACTAGGTAATTAGATATATGGATAGTATTATAACCCGACCCTATTATAACAATCTATGAGTCATATAGTATTTCTATTTGAATTCAAATAAAATGAAAAAATTDATTTTRTTAAACCTCTAGTATACTTGATATTATAATCATAATTTAATATGTGTAGCCAATAGGGCTAATATAATATCATATTTGTATATTACAAATATGAAATAGGTATAATATTATTATTATATATTAGTATTAACCGTTAGGCAGAAATTATCATTATAAATTATAGGTAAACATCAAATAAAAACAAATCGTTAACTAATAAAAATAATTTGAATTAATACTTTTATTAATGTAAGTAAACTTGCAATAATAAGTCTTTAAATATAAAAAAAAACAAATAAAATGCCGCTCTTTGGCCACTGTGCATAGTTGAGATTAAAGATATAAATTATAATTAAAATATCTCTATTTATTTACTGACTTTTGAATTGAGACTATAGATTACAGATTACAATATAGAACTAAAATTAATTTGTATGATTAAAATTAAATTAAAAGTATAATAAAGCTTCAATTATCAATGGTCGCAGAATAATGGCGTAATTAAGGAGGGATTAAGGGGATAGATTCCCCCTCCCAAAACTTTTGTTTTAATGCTATCATTTTATATTTGGTGGGTAGGTACTGTATGAAGCTTACAGATTTTGCTAAAAACATATAATCCCCCCCAAACCATATTCCTAATTACACCACTGTTGCAGACTTGTAATAAACCTCTAAAATTATAACATGCCAAAAACGTAAAATCAAATTTATTTTTTATTCAATATTTCAATGTGAAGATTTCATATGAAATATTCCATACACCATAACTCTAAATATGATCGACCAATATTCCTCTAATCTAAAGTGAATAGACCTATTATGAAACTTGATGGTAAGAACATTATCTGTGTTTTGTTGGAAGTATTTTTACGATAATTCAGTTTTTAAGTGAATTATGTGCGTATAATAAATTTAATATAAAAATGCTCATAACTCACTTAAAAACTGAATTATCGTAAAAATAGRACTTCCAACAAAACACAGATAATATTATTACCATCAAGTTTCATAATAGGTTTATTCACTCTATTTTTAAGCTAACAGAATAAAACATGAACAGTTGAGTATAAATTTGTTATGTTACGCGTTTGTAAAACTAAGACAACAAAAACTGGTGTTGCGCAGTTGCACCCTCTTAAGGAGATTGGAAGYAATGGAAGCGATACATTTTTGTATTTCTGAACATATATAGGAATTCCGAATTTAGATATTTTTTTCATCCTGACGTTCCGRTTAACTTAATTAAGCAATAGGTATGAATTCTAAAAAAAAATTTGGATATTAAATTTGTCGTCAAATGTCTACTTGAGATCAACTTTCTTACATTTTTTATTTTAATCCCCTAAATCTAAAATTTCTGGCGAAAAGATCTACTTATTGGTGATTTGAGAGGTCAACATTTTAAATAATCAGTAGTTTTCAAAAGCCCCGGATGAATTACATTCTGTTTTTTTCGGAGGTTTTGACTTCAGGTCTTAGGCAAACAAGACCCCAATCAGCTGTGATCGAGTTTCGCTTTTATATGACTATATTGTTCTGCCTTATGCGATTCTGGCTTCACCTTATAATTTCTTAATTTTTTGTAGGTAGGTAGAGAGGTACTTGGATTATATAGGTACCACGATTAGGTCATACTGTCATGTTATGTACAAATCTACCTATATTATATTATAACATTATGTAATACAATATTATACCTAGGTATACAAATTAAAATATTAATAATATTTTTATTTAATTTAAATTTGTCAACATTTAACTAGGCAAAAACAAATCTTGGGGCACTCCCTATAGACTACAGTGAAGTGTCATTCTTGCAGTGTATTATGCGGGTGTACGACATAAAATAGCTCTTTATTGCTGCAAATTACGATATCCAACTTTCTTGCTCACATAGTCTTATTTTAAACATTTTTACATTGTAAACATTTAAATAACAACTGTATGAAGATGTTAGTAACTAAAGAACTATAATTAGGAACCAACTTTTTATAAGTCGCGTTACAAATGATTTACATTCTTGTTATTTTAATTATAGTTTGTCAACGAGATACCTATATAATAGAAGATAGAACAGAACCAATAACACACTCACGAAGTCACGAACATTAAAAGGTGGGATTATATACTCATAAGTAATAACTAATAAGTACCTACTAAAGCACCGCTAAGTTCGAATATTTTTTCTAGGCAATATTGTATTATTTTATATTATATAAAAATCGATCGATAAGACGTATTCTGTATAGGCAGGTATTATTATTATTTAATACGTAGGTATGAATTCTAACAAAAAGTTTACTTCGTGWCTTTGTTAGATTGCACGAATATTTCTAATCAAACTCGCTAAATTTGTTATGGAAGCTTAATTGATTTTTTGGTCTATACTCGCATTTACGTACCAAATGTTATATATGTCACAAGTTCACAACCAATATTTTTTTAACGTGTTCACATTCTTAAACACTTACCTATTACATGAACAATATAAATTAAAATACAGGTAATTTATTGATTTCTAACTTCTTAAGAGTCACACTCTGTGTACACTATTATCATATCAACATATATTTTATTTAAAGTAGGCACAATAAATACAACTTTTATCAAGGAAAAAAATCTTTCAGCATAGTAAGTATCTACCTACAAATTAATGTTTTATCCTGTAAATTATGGTATGAAAGAGGCATGTAGGTATTTGACATTATTGTTATAAATTAATTATTATATTATATTATGCTTACCATGTATTTACACATGTAATCAAAATAATTTCATTTGTTAGCATATTATACAATAATATAAACTATATTGGCCTAGTACACTGTATGCTAWTAACTGTTTCTGTTGCTATGGGCGAACAAAATCAATAATAATGGGCCACAATATATTAGCATATTATTGTTTTTTAAACACAAATATTTAGATATTGAACTTTATATTTTACATTATTTACATTACTGCACAATTCTTAATTACCTATCTTATTAAAATTTATTTTATTTGGAATTTTTTTTTATCATTTCCAATGAATAATAAAGATCAAAATGAATTTATTTTACATCCTAATAATGGTCCTTATCCCGAGTATGCGTATAACATGCTAAAGTAACTAATATTTAAATTGTTTTTATTTATTCACGGCTTAGAGAAATTATTGGGCAATATATTATAATGGAATTGCCTAAATTTGATAACAAAAAAATATATAGGACTAAGAACCAGCAGTGTAAGAAAAAAAAAGTTTTAAAACCAATACGTATACATACATTGTCAGCCACCAGAAGAAGACAATGTAAGTTAATAATTTGACTTTACGTAGTTGTAATATTAGTATAGAATTAACTATATGTCTATATTCGACAATATTTTAACAGGCACATCAAATACACCATATCAAACCACTTATACTAGCCGTACTGGAGTACAATCAAGCACATCAAATGTCAATAGTTTACTAATTAACGATCATATATTGCGTATAAAAACACTTGAAAATGAACTGAYTGAAGCACATATGAAAACGCGCGTGAGTTTTTTAAAAATAAAACCATAAAAACCATAATTAATATATTTATATTAATAATTTAGGAATTGATCGTAGAAAACCGTTTATTGAAAACATTAGAGAAGCGACATGAAAATGCGTTATCTATGTATGAAGGTAGAAAAGCTAAGCTACCACAAGCAATTAAATCATATGAAGAGGAAATACGCTCATTAAATAGCCAAATATGTAATCTTAAGATTCAATTGAAGGAAATGGAAAATAGATATAAGTCACAGAACATCGAATCAATAGCTTTACAAAAACGGTACAAACACCTTTTAAGTTTATCCCAGAATAAACAACTCGGTAAAAAAGAAAAACTTTCAAATCAATTAGAAGAAGCTCAAAGTACAATAAAAAAACAAGATGATAAAATTTTGGTAAATCTTTATTTTGTCCAATATCTAATAAATGGCTAGAAATATGTTTTTTACTTTATATTATAGAATATTATAAAAAAATTAGAACTTCAAGATAAATCTCATAGGTATCATATAAACTTGGAAAATATTAAAATCAAAGAATTGCAAAATGAAGTCAAACGTTTGAAAGATGAAAATAAAAATTTAAGATCATGTTTGGATAAAATTAAGCCTAAAAACTATAGTTCGAGGCAAAATTTTACAAAAGGAATAACTGAAGATTCAATAAGCATAGTATCTCGGTAAGTAAATCTAGTATTTTTTGTAAGTTATAATATATTCACAAATTTAACAGTGTATTAAAGCCTATACCAACAATACATGATGGACAAGGTGATGAAATAGATGAATCTTTTTACAAAACTAATGGGTCAATATCCCTTAAACCAGAAACATTTCATGAAGATCTTGAAGAAAACAATAAATATTCAACAAAAAACTACAAAATTAACACAATTAGGGAGATAAAAAATAATACAATAATACCATMTAATGCTTTGATAAATAAAGAATCATACTCATCAACAACACCAAGCAGTATGTCGTGGGTAGACAATGATCTGGCTAAGTTTACAAAAGTAAATATCTAGGACATAGTAAAACACTATAAATAGAAAATAACATATAAGTTATCATAAGCATATTTACAAGGTCTTGCAACACTGATTTTATAAAAACTTTCTAAAAATATATATTTGGTTAGATCTGAAAATCGTTTTAAACAGGGGCGGATTGGACAAATTCAGCCCACCAAATTTTTTATGATTTATTGGCCCACTTACAAACTTAATATCAACAATACCTAAAACCATATAGGTACTATGGACTGTGCTGTGACACTGCAGTCTAACATTTAGACTTCATAATTTCAACTTTAGACTCTTAAACGATCTCTTAACTCTTCAGTCAACAGCCTCACGACTTAATAGCCAAAGATTGTTGTGGCCCACCAAGTTTTACTTGGTAGATCATCAGGCCAATCCGTCTTAGTTCTTGATATATGTATGTAAATTATGTATATTATATGTTATCTCCTATGATCATTCATCATGTATTCATGTTACTATAAAATACAGTAAATAAATATTAATTTGATTTTAGGAAAGTGAACCAGAACTATTAAAAACTGTAAAAAATGATTTTGAAAAAAAAACCAAACATAAAGCTGCTGCTTTAATTCAATTACCAGGAACCTCTATGTCTAGAGCTCAAAAGGACATACTGTTGGCAAAATTAAATCAAGTCAGAGAGGATCAAGAAAATTATGAAAATTATTTTAAATCAAAACTATTAAAACAGCCAATCAATAAAAGATCCTCCTCATCATATGATTCTGACAATATAAGTGGCAAATCTTCAAATAGTGATAGTTCACAAGAATAATCAAATATTAATTAAATGTTTTATACACATTATAATATGTATTATTAATAATAAAAATATATTTTTTATGTTTCATAATTATTTGATTAAACTTTCTTCATGTTTAGATACATCCATAGAGTCTGCCAATAATTTAGTCAATCTATCTTCTAATTTCCTTATTTCTTCAGTACAAGACTGAAACTGACAATACAAACATAGACATAAGAYATAACTAAATAATTTTRTATTCCATATTTTTGACGTTAAAAACATAAAATAAATACTRTAGATACCTCTCTTTCAGCGGAGTAAAGTTTTTCAGACATACTATTGAATACAGTGCTTGCTGCTACTGTATAAGACATAAGTGCGTTTGACTTCCCTAGTTGTAAAGCACAATCCATGGCACTAATAGAATCCTTTAAATTAAGATAAATGGTATTTATAAAATCATAAAAATGTAGCAACATT